TATGTTTAGAGCATTGTTTATTGAGATCCGGCAATTTTTCCACATGAAAAATCGAAAACAAACAAAGACCTGCATTGAAACTTCAGCACATGCAGGGAATTAGTCATAGTCCTACATAAGAGATCGAGGTTAATCAACAAACTTTCCTTAGTTTTACGTCATCAAGCAGTATGACAGCCTTTATCTAATGGGAGTCACGAAGGTATGAGGTAATTGCAGTTTATATATTAAGGGAAAATTCTATGAAGCCGATAGTAGTTCATAATTAGAAGCAAACGCAGACCTCCTCAAAGTGAAATAGAATACCTTTTTAAGACCAGGCAGGGGGTGATAATGCTCAAATCACCGATTTGGCTCCAAATTGGCATAAATGCTAAGTATCATGATTTAACAAAGGTGTGAAACAATAGGTCAAAATATTTAATTTCCTGGGAAATGTACGATCCCCGGGAAAAACCCCCACTTCTTGATTTTGTTGCATAATTAATTAGCTAACTTTGCGTCGCCGCTGTGACAAACCGAAAGGCCGTCTTCAAATTGAATCAACTGGGTTGTATTCTATATCTATCAGACTCCAAAACATTGATCTGTTTTAACTTGTTCCATTCATTTTTTCCCTTACCTCTCCCTTTAGTAAACACGGCTTTTTCTGGTTTTCACATATTCAAAGAAAAAGGGTATTTTAAGACCCAATATCTCCGATGACCAACCACTTTTGATCGTAATTCCTACACGGGCAGTGAAAGCCATCACTGGAAATTTTATTTCATTTCTATATCGTTTCTTTTAAATAATTTTTGTCAAGACAGGAACTCGAGAGAAAGAATTAGCATGGGCGATACCAGTTGTTGATTTCCACGAGCAACGGCCTCTAGAGTATCGAAGGATTACATGAATATTTATCCGATGTACTTGTTAAGTTGCAGCAGATTTGATTACAAGTTTTAATTTAAAGCCAGAGAAAGTTTACAGTTGCATCTGTTTCGATTTGTAAATGTGATTAACATATTTAACATCCGGCAGACATTAAAGCTTTTGATATATTTTGCATACCCGCACCATCTGTATAAGCATGAAAGGAATTTATACCTCTGATCTCTGAAAGTAAATGAAATATTACATTTTAGTCACACACTTATTATTTTAGTGCCATTTTAACATCTTCGTTGCTTGTATTTTACTGCAATAACTCCTAAAGTGATGCAATCATACTTAATAGCTAAAGTAGAAACAGAATGAGTTTCTGACGCATCGCAAATGTCCTGGATTCTTGAAAACTACAGTTTCCTCAAGTCTAACGGGTGCACAGGCTCTACAAACGAAAATATGCTGGTCGAAGTTTGACCTCGATATGCTTTAACGAATAACTTTGTCCTCGAAATGATTTCCAGGTAATTCCTTGTGCGCGACGTCTACCTTGGTACAAGCCATTTGGATTAGCGGCATGACAGTTACTATACCACCAGCCACCTTTATAACGCAATCCACAATTTCCACCCTTAGCGATGTCGTTGTCCCTGTCCCTTGTTGTAAAACTCATGTTTCTAAGTTTCAAAACAAAAAACAACTTCTTGAGAAAATGAGAGGCTGGGAGACAATGCGTGGTCAGGAACACCCAGCCAAGAAGCACTGTCTAATTACTGATAACTCGAGAAAATAAGAGAAGAAGCAATATTACAAAAGTGTTACAAGTAAGTTTAAAAAAGTGCTATAAAGTATCTAGTTAGTTCAGTGTTCGTTTGTATTTAGCATTTGGTTATTGTAA